CAACACATCAGGAAGCACAGGATTTCAGGTCCAGGGCGGGTAGGAGTGTGAATCTAAGGGAGAGGCCTGGACATTCCCAGCACTGACTCTGATAGGTGGGGCAGGTGTTTGATGGCGCCCGGGTGTTTGATGGTGACTGACAAGAGCTAGTGACTTCCAGGAAAGCACAGCAGAGTCCAAAAGAAGATAAAGGGTGAGTGAGGCAAGCAGGGGCTGGCTGAAAATCTGAGGATTCTCAATGACATAACAAGAAAAATGAAGGCAAATTAGGAGAAGAGATGTATGTTATATTAGGAAATTTACAAAGAGCTCCCTGTCCCCAGCTCTCCTGTGCAGAGTCAGCAAAACGGAGGAAAGCCCAACACAGGCATGAGAAATTCTTTCTTCCTTTTCTCTCAACCTAAGGAAACACAACTAGAGTTTGATCAAATTCATCCAAACTAGACAGAGTCTAAGTGAGACGGGGCTGGTGCAGTTCCCATTCCAAGGGACCCCACCTTATGATGATAGTGTCATCATGAGGACACGGGTGTATGTGGAATGGGGAGCAAACCCATCAGACAGCACGTACCTGGCCCGCTGCACCTGGAGGAGGTCCCGGGAATGACTGGAGGACCTGAGCCCCGCAGCAAGACGAGGATGGAGTTGGTAGTAAAATGGGTGGAATGAACCCATGGGCTTTGGGGACTGCACACCTGTCCTACCTCTGGCCCCCTGGTGAGTCAGTGTAGAGAGCGGAGAGAGGAGTTGCTCATCCCCGTCCCATGACCAAGCATTTACACAGTCATAAGAATCAACACCTGGGTGGCTTCTTTGTTTTTTAAGAGCCAGGGATCTTGCTATGTTGCCCAGGCTGGTCTTGAACTCCTGGGCTCAAGACACCCTCCTGTCTCATTCTCCCACTGGGGTGGCTTTAGAGGCAGGGGATAAAAGGGGTGGAACATGGGTCTCAGCCCCTTGGAGGGACAGGGAACAGGTGCCAGAGCCTCCTAGGATCCTGCATGAGGTTCCAGTCTCTGAAGAGATTATGGATCATGCATTCCTCCATTCATTCCCTCCCTTCTTCGTGAGAGAACTGCTGTGTCTCACGTTGGGCCCTGGCTTGGGCAGGGTGTGAGTGGGGAAAGAAAGCAAAGTCCTTTCCTTTATCCTCCTGTGGGAGTGACACCAACACATCAGGAAGCACAGGATTTCAGGTCCAGGGCGGGTAGGAGTGTGAATCTAAGGGAGAGGCCTGGACATTCCCAGCACTGACTCTGATAGTTGAGGCAGGAGATTCAGTTCTAAGTAAAAACTAATCCCCCATTTGTTCCTCACTCCCCAGACCGGAATCTCCCACTTCTGGCATGGATGCCTAGGAAGGAAGCTCTGTAGCTACAGACACAGACCTGGGGATTCTGATGTGTCTGTCCGGTCTGTGAGAGCCTGCCTCAGTGGCTGTACTTCCTTCTGCCTCAGTTTCCTTTAACAAAATGAGATAAAGTGTAAATGGTCTCTGGCTTGCCTTGTTGTCTGTGAATTCACCTTAAAATAATCACAATTACCTGGACGAGAGCCCTGCGTAGAAGAGCTGCCCAAATAAGCAGCATCTCTGATTGTTTGCCCCCAGGAGTGGATTATTTGGACCTGATTCCTGGTGTACAAGGAACTTAAAGCAGAATCTTTCTTCTTCCCTTTCTCCCCCTGAGGACACTGACTCCCCTAGGACCTCTCTTAAGTTCCTCATCCAGGGGGCTGAGGTCCTAGTAATCCTGTTCATCTGTCCTTTCCAGGCTGAGTCTCAGGTGAAGGATGAGGCTCTGTCCTTGCCCAGATGAGGCCCTGGGGGTGACCAGGCTGGTGACCAGCTCCGTGAGCCATGATCTTCAAACAGCTCAAATCCTTGCTCTCAGTCAGTTCAACCCAGGAGGCCACAACCCAGCGCTGGCACAGGTTCCTTAGGGTCACCTGGAGTCAAGAGCCCTGGGACAGGGATCTGGGACTTGTGCTTCCAGGGCTGAGCTTCTCTGTGAGGATTCCAGGGGACCCCTCAGGCCAGGCTCTGACCTGGTTCTCCAGGGTCTTTTTCAGGGGGAGGGCACAGAATCTTGGTTGGGACTGATCCCCTCCTGCTGAGTCCCCCGCCCCCCATCAGACTGTCCTTCCTCTGCAGCAAGTATCTGCAGGGTCTGGATGCAGGAAAGGGATTCTGATCTGTTGAAGTTTGTCTCCCCTGTATGTGTCCTTCACTAAATGCCCAAACCCTGACACAGGATAAAGTGTAGATGGGGACATGGGCACAACCCAGGCCTGACAATCTCGTGTGTATGAAGTAGAACTGACCCCCAGCACCCAGATGTTGTGGAGGAATCACTCACAGAATACGTAGAATTGCCTGGTTACTTCTTCATTCACAAGATCTTCGTTTATAACGTTTAGGGTATAGATTCCTGGGTCACTGAGGCTGACGTTCTGGATCAGCAGGGATCCATTGGAGTATATTGTCTCTCGACCGCTGTGTGCGGGCCCTGGGGCATTTTCCCCTTTGTTTGTTACATATCCTATAATTCGATAGTTGGCGTGCACCCTTTCCCCTTTGTACCAGTTGTAGCCATAAAGATTGCGGGACACATTACTGACTAGCAGAATGACCTCCTTCCCCTCTGCAACATTGAACGGCACAACTTCAATGTTAGTCTGGGCACTGGTGGGCAGGTTCCAGAAGGTTAGAAGTGAGGCTAGGAGGGAAGAGAGCATCAGTCAACATTGGGTGGAAAGATGGGGCTCTGGATCCTGAGCAGGCAGGTTTCCTCACCCACTCCCATCTTGAAGAGTGTGTGTGTGCGCGCGTGTGTGTGTGTGTGTCCTACTGGGTCAATGTAAGCACCATGACCCCATTCCTTCAGCATCTCTGACCTTCACATTTCCCTGTTTGGAATCCTCTTCCCCAGGGATCTGCATGGCTCTCTCCACACTGCAGGACCTGCTCACATCAGGGCATCCTTGGGAGACCCCTCCCCTGACACCTTCTCTAGAGGCCCTGGGTGTTCCCTGTCTGACCTTTCCCTGCTCTATTCCCTTTAGGGATCTTGTCAACACCTGACTTCACATCCTAGATCTCTTTGCCTGTCTGTCTTCCTCCCCATGAGAGTGTGAGCTCTGTGAGGCAGGGACTTGTGTGATCTGGATTGCACCCCAGTGCCTGGGACAGGCTGCAGGCTCCAGTGGATGAGCTCATGAGAGTTCCCAAGGCCCTCCACATCCTGGGGCTTATTTTCCAATGTCTGAGGTTGGTGGCAAGGGACAATGTTTTATGCCCTGGTTATGTTTTTATTTGAAGTGTCATTTGATATAGTTATTATTACCCTGTTTCAAAATGTAGCAACTAGTGACAATTAACCAGGAAAAGAGAACACGTGAGATTTTCTTGACCCTTTCCAATTCCAGTTCAATGTGATTTTCCTGTTCTGGTTTCCTGTCCCTCTCTGGTGTCCTCTCCCATATTCATGCTTCAACAGAAGCCCTTTGTCCCTCTCAGAGCCCCGTTCCCCCAAGGAGACCCCAGCCAGTCTCCCTGGCCCTCCTCCTACCCACTCCCAGGAAGTCCTCCCCTCACCTGTGAGCAGGAGCCAGGGGATGCATGCTCTGTGTGGACAGGCTGAAGGGGACCCCATGGTCTCTGCTGCCTGCTTGTCCTCTGTGGAGAAGAGCTTGGGCTCCAGGAATGCTCTTGTCAGGGCTGCTGTGATTGTCAGCTCTGCTGTCCTTCCTACCTCTGTGCTGAGCCTCCTCCCAGGGCAGGAGCACTTTCCAAGATCACATGGTCCAGGGGTGGGGTCTCTGCTCAGGAGTCCTTTGTCCCCTCCCCTCTCATTCCTGCCTCTTTTGTACTTCTTCCTCTTTCCCTTTTGTCTATATTCAGTTCCCCAGACAAAGCTATGAGAAGCAAGGCTGATGGACCCCTGTCCCCTGGGAGGACAACCAATCTTTCCCAGCGCTGACCTCTGCTGTGTTCTGGCCTTGGGTCTGTCACACCAGGGGGATTATTTCCCTTGTGACAGAGAAACCCAGCTGGGCCTTGGGTTTCTGCTGGGATGATGCCCAGCAGGAAGGTGACAGAGGTGGCTCTGGGGGATAGAAAGGGGTTCACTGGGGGATGACTGGGGAGAGACCAGCCCTCTGTCTCCAGTATCACCAGCCTGGCCTCTGACCCAGGCACAGAAACCAAGGCCCAGGGGTCTCAGGAGGAGCTACAGCTCCTGGGTGTGGAGGGAGGCATCTGGTGTGTCCTGGGAAGAGAGGGCTGTGGTGGAGGGAGGTGTGTGTCTCTGAGGTCTGCTGTCCTTGGGAAAGGCTTCAGGGAAAGCGTCCCTCTCCCTGTCTTTTGGATGAGCTGTGGCTCAGGTCCTTTCCATGTTTTACCTGACCTGGAAGCCTCTGTCTGGCTGACAGTCCAGTGGTCACTCCGCCTTCCCCATGGGTGGTGCCAAGAGGGAATGGGGAGCTGCACAGAAACCCTTGGCAAAGCGGGGTCCTCAGAGGCCCCAGGAAGGAAGAGGTGGGACACAGCAGGAACATGAGAGACAAGAAGGGTCTGTTGGAGCAAGGCATGGCGCTCAGTGAACGTCGTGGGACTGAGGAGCTAACGATAATGAGAGTAGGGCTGTGAATGTGCTCTGAGGATCACAGGGACCTGCCCTGGGAGATGCCCTTTCGGCTGAGCCCTGGGGAGGAGAGGATGTAGGGGCAGGAGCTGCCTGCAGAAAGACTGACTTTAGTTGGGTTGCTGCGGGGCTGTAGGGAGGAGCTGACAGAGTCCGTCTGGGGAGCTTGGAGGGCGTGGAGGAGGTAAGTCGAGGTGATCCTGGTGAGGGTGAACCCTGGGGGAGCTGTGGGTCCAGCTGAGGGAGGCCAGCAGACCCTGGGGAGGCTCTAGGCCGGGAGGGACTCAGCCGCCCTCTGGTGGACAATGAAGAAAGTGTAGACGGAAAAAGGATGGGTTTAACTCAGCATGATCTTTAAGCGTAGATCACATATTTGCTGCATGCTTTACATTCTAGGTGTCTCTCACGCAAGCTCTTCTCTAGTCTATCCCCAACGAATCATCAAAATCAGATTTGTAGTCTTATGTCAGGCCAAGTTCTGTGTGCACTTAGGG